TGCTGGACACCAGCAACGAGGTAGGGAACGAACTTGGTGACGGAGCCACGGTCGAGAACGGAACCAGCGACACCCTGAGCAACCAGGACACCGTCCTTCTCAGAGAAGTAACGGGCAGTACCAGCGTTGCTGGCCTTGCTGTCCTTGGAGCCAGCGCCAGCCTTCTTGTCCTCCATGGCGGCGATACTGCCCATACCACGGTAGGACTTGACGAGCTGACCCTCCTTGCTCATGAAGTACTCGCCAGGAGACTCGGTGGTACCGGCAAGGAGACCTCCCATCATGACAGTGGAGGCACCCATAGCCAGACCCTTGACGATGTGACCAACGTTCTGGACACCACCGTCAGCAATGCAAGGAACACCGAAGCGAGCGGCGAAAGCGGTGACGCTGCGGACAGCAATGGCCTGGGGACGGCCAACAGCCATGACCTCCTGGGTGATGCAAGCACTACCGCTGCCCATGCCAATTCTCAGGCCATCGACACCAGCAGCAATCAGGGCTGCGGCTTGCTCACGAGTAACAACGTTACCACCGATAACGTCGATCTCGGGGAAGTTCTGCTTGATCCACTTGATCATCTCAATCTGGTACATGCTGTTACCCTGGCTGCTGTCCAGGATAACAATGTCGAGACCAGCATCAACAAGGAGCTTGAGTCTGGTCTTGTCCTGCTCACGGGTACCAATGGCAGCAGCGGCGATGAGCTGCTTGGACTGGGGGAGCTTGGAGGCGAGGGGGTAGTGGAGGTTCTTCATCAAATCGCTGCGGGACAGCAGGGAGACGAGGTTGCCGTTCTCATCGACAATGGGGAGCTTGCCCTTCTTGGAGGAACGGAGGACCTCGTTAGCCTCGGCCAGGGTGGTGCCAGCGGGGGCAGTGATGAGGTCAGTGGACATGATGGCGGTGACGGAGTCATCAAGGTCGCCGTGGAACTGGATGTCACGGGAAGTGACAATACCAACAAGCTTGGAGCGGAGGGTTCCGTTCTCTGTTCAAACAAATGCTGTTAGAATCAAGTCCGACTCGAACCAGAAAAGAAGAACATGTTATGATGAAACACAAGGGTCAGATAAAATCTGTTTCTCTACAGTGCTGCTCTCGCTGCTCCAGTGGAACGAAAGTTATAATAGAAAAGAGGATAATCATCACTGTGAATGGGAAAACTGGAAGAAAAGAACAGTAAAGACTTACCAGTAACAGGGAAACCACCGAAGCCCCACTTGGCCTTCAGCTCCTTGGCCTCGCGGACAGTGGCCTTGGGAGAAAGGACGACGGGGTCGGAGATGAAACCGTTCTCGTATCTCTTGACCTTGCGGACCATCTCGGCCTGATCCTCAGGAGCGCAGTTGTGGTGGATAACACCCAGACCTCCCAGCAGAGCCATGTGGATGGCCATGTTGTGCTCGGTAACGGTATCCATGGGAGAGGACAGAAGGGGAACCTTCAGAGAGACACGCTTGGTGACGGGAGTGTCCAGAGTGACATCGGAGGCAGGGAAGCCTGTGATGGGGCGTATAAGCAACCGAGCACGAACAAGAATCACCAGAAACTCAAGGTGTTCGTCTTACCGATGTATCCGGGCAAGATCAGGAAGTCGTTGTAGGTCAACGCTCCGTGCTTGTCCGAGTCAAGCAGAGTGTCAACGTCCAGACCATCCTGAGTAGTGTAGGTCTTCAGGACCTCCAGGGCCTTGGTGTGGTCCTGGATCTCAGCCTGCATGGCGCGGCCAAGAGAGTCACCGTTGGAGATAGGCATGGTGAAGACTCTACCGGTTCTATCGTAACTCGTCAAAAAGAATGATAAGAGTCAAGAATAGAAAAAATAATCAACAGATCGACGATAGAAACGTTCTGTTGATGGAGAAAGTCTTCCTTTCCCAAAGAAAAGAAAGAAAGAAAAAGGAAGAAAAATTGGAGGAGAAAAAAATTGGCTTTTGACTTCTGCCGCACACGCTAGCGATCCCTGCAGAATTCATGCCGCAACGGGTATGGTTTGCCTTCCCGCTGGCTGTTGGAGGCTGTGATTGGCTGCTAAACGAAATCAGGCCAGGCGGTGAGTGAGGAGGGGGTGACATTGAAAGAACCAAATTATTCCATCCTGACTGATGGTTAATAATAGTTCTGAAAATTTTTGCAGTCCCGCTTATCAATTTTTTAAGGAACCGTCGCGGGGTTCGGGGTTAAACTTCCCATGGAGTGATGCCTGATCGCTGCTTGCGGCAATTGCAATGACTTAGATACTTAGCAGCACTGTTACTGACTGGTCATGTGAGGGGTTGCTTTTCACGATACATTTTATATGAAGTTCTCTCCTCTATCAACTTCGTCTTTTTTCTATTTTCCACTTCGCGCATACGCCAAGATGGGGTTAGCGGCTACTAGTCTCGTTGATAAGATAACTAAGATGCCCACGGTCTTGTCTTGAATGCATGTAACGATACATTGAGCTTGCTGGGGACGTTGTTGAATTCAACTGGGTTATTGCATGGTGACTCTTTGGTCTAGACACCATTGTACTTCTCAACATTAACGTATTGGTTTAAGTGGTGCTGCATAGCTATATGCTCGGACCAAATTAATTCTCTCCCCGCAGTGTAGTCCAAGGACCCCGGATTTATATGAATCACCATCTAGGTGCACTGGTCAAGGCATCTTAAGGTGTACTAGCAAGTGTACTTAAATAATCAGTTGATATGCAAGGAGTACTGTCTCTTTCATTCTTGGATTCAAATAACGATCTTAAACTTGTCCTTTGCTCCTTGTGATGTCCTCCGCGGGCCCATGGAGCTCTAGAGACGGAACACATATACTGTAGGGCAGATGAGGTTCAATTCAGAAGCAAGGAATAATTACAGATGTGTATAGCCAGGTGGTCCAAATGATAGTGCTGATTTATGTTGCCAGGAGTGTTACGGCTATGTCATTTTTCCACCTGATAATTCTGAGGTTGTTGCAGGGCGCAGTGTGACTGTTCCATATAACTTATGGAGAGGGTTACACTGCCGCCTCCCCATGTGGCTGATCGGTATCTTCTTTCTATGTCTAACCAATCCTCCGTTGGCATTAGCTTTTCCTGTTGAATTAGGCTTCATTAAACATGCGAATGCAAAGGCTTATCAGACTACTCAGTACTCCCTGCATTCTGATTGAGCATAGTATATGAACTGTAGCACTAGTCCAGCCAAGCGGCGAGCATAAGCTTAGAATTAACTTCAAGATAGCGATATTAAATACTGCTTTAGCGATATACTAAAGACAATTAAGATTTCAATTGAATCGATTTGGCGAATTCTTTGGTGTGCTACGATATAGTAGATCGAGGGGTGAACTGCGGAGATGTGGTTCGCGGACTTGGTTACGTAGTACAACTATGACGCCAGGGTGACAGAAGGCAAAGAAAGCCGCCCGACCTATATAGGTAGCGCCAGAGCCATGGATTTCTTACTGTTTGAACAATATCTTCTCATAGCAATCATAGCGCACGACTCATAGTCACAATGGCATCCGCAATGGGGAAAGAAGGCGTTTTCCAGCCGCCACAGGCAGCTCAATCCCAGAATACGCCAGGGTAAGTTCCCCTTCGCGGTCTTTCTCCTCGTTACTTCAATTAGCTTTCTCTCTCTCTGAGTATTCTTAGAAGAAGCCAGCGAAGCTAAGAGACAATCTCAGGTTAGAGAAGAAAATGGCACCAGCAAGTGAACCGACCAAGCTGGAATCCAGCGGCACTTTCGTGGAGTATGTCGGTTCTGGAAAACTGAAGGACAAGAAAGCTCTCATCACGGGCGGCGAGTATGTCTCCTATACTGGCATGATATAGGAAGGCCAAAACCAAAAAGCTCACATCCTTGTAGTTCCGGAATCGGCCGATCGGTCGCGGTCTTGATGGCTCGCGAAGGGGCCGACGTCACCATTGTCTACCTACCCGAAGAAGAAGAGGATGCTCAGGATACCAAGAAGATGGTTGAAGCCGAGGGCAAATCATGCCACCTCTTCAGCGGAGATTTGAGAAGTCGCGAAACGTGTCGCAAGGCTGTTGAAGAGCATATGAACACGTGCGTGGCCTTATTATGATCAGTCTACTTACGAAGCTCTATCTCATACTAAGCCCAGGTATAAAAAACTGAACATTCTCGTCAACAACGCCTCCAAGCAGTTCATGTGCAAGGATTTCGCGCAAATAGATCTCGACAATGTTACCAGCACCTTCGAGAGCAATATCATTCAGATGTTTGCTATCACGAAATTTGCCCTTCCACATCTATCCAAGGGCGACTCGTCAGTTTCTCTATTTTCCTTTGGAACCAGCTGCCTTTGGCTAATTTGATCTGCAGCATTATCAATACCACATCTACCGTGGCATTCCGAGGTACAAGCGGTATGGTGGACTATAGTGCGACTAAAGGTGCTATTGTTAGCTTTACAAGATCATTGGCAGCACAGCTGAAGACGAAGGGTATCCGCGTTAATGCAGTGGCGTAAGTTCGAGGGTTCATGTTGACTGTCAAGACAAATGCTCACTATTATTTCGGTAGTCCTGGTCCGGTTTATACTCCTATTCAGGTCGATACTCGAGCGCCCGAGCAGATGGAGAACTTCGGCGCTGAATCTTCCATCGGTCGACCTGGTCAACCAAGCGAAGTCGCAACAAGCTTCATTTTCCTGGCTAGTGCAGATGCTGCACTGTTCTGTGAGTAAATCTTCGACCCCTGGCGACAAAGGCTGCCAACCAACCTCTGACGTTTTCTGACTTTGAAAAAGATGGCCAGGTTTTGCACTGCTATCCTCTAGGGGATTAAACAAGTTTGAAGCCGAGGACGAAGTGTCTATGAAGCCACACGAGGGAAAAAGTACAGTGTTAAGCTCCATGAACGAATGCAACTTGGCAATCGTTACAGTTCTAAAGTTAGCTCTAGGGCGTCCCCGTGCCTCTAAAACCATTTGATGTGAAAATATGTACATTTATGATAGTTCATAGGAGTTGAGTAATTTGTAATGCGATCAATACAACAGCCATGGTTTCGCCTGCAGGAGGGCTTTATCCCAGCCCTCATCATTCTTCCAGATAGCAACAGTCTCTACCTCATCCTTGCCCAACTTGAGATCATTGTACAGATGCTATCCAGAGGTTCCGATTAGTTCGAAATCCTCTTCTCTGTAACCATACATGGGGCTGAGACAACATACCGGAAACAAGCCCTCTTTCGGTCGCGGTCCGCAGACTGTCCCGTCAGGATTCTCCCACCGGACCTGGCCGGCTATGCCCTCAAAGGGAATCCGGAGCACGTAGACCAGCGGCTCGTCTTTAAAGAACATTTTGAGGGTATTCGGTACTTGAAATGCTGTCGAGAGGTGTACGAATCCCGATTTCTCATCCAGCTCGCTAACCGGCAGCCGATCGGGGAGGGGTTCCCGTACCGGAGACGTCGAGGGAATCAGCTTGTAGACGTAGAGGGGCTCGGCGTCTGCCATTTTCTCTTTTGTTCGATGATGTAATTTCCCGTTGGGACTTGTAGAAGGGGTTATAAAGGATTTAGTGGTAGTTGCTTGTGTTGTAGGTCTGTATCCTAGTCATATAGGTAGGCGATATATCGACGCTAGTGAGTGGGTGGTGGGACTGGTCATCCTTGACCCCTCCATGAGTTGTTCGTCGATCGCGTCGGACTCTTTGTCCTCCAAGACTCCCGTGACCGGGGGTGTGAGTAAGTAGTATCCGAGCTTTCTTCAACCACACGGAATGTGCCTACTTTTCTTTGATGATTGGTGTGTTAATATGTAGATGGTTTGTCATCTGCTGCAAATTTACTGAAGGAGTAAAAGAATATTTTTGATCCTGGAGTTTTGACCAAGTCCCCGCATGCGTTTCCGATAAGATAGTAGTACGACGGACTATATGTTGGTCAATATATATTAACGTTAGTACTAGCGGGACTGAGGGGTTCGGCTACGTCTGAGAGAAAGAAATTGGTTCAATATCCACATGGATAACTTGATATCATACTTCATACATGGAATAGACTAATGAAGAATTGAAGCTGATCGTGGGCGCACATAATCTCCACAAGATTAAACAATCTTCAGGTGTACATGCAGCCTCCAGAGTACTAGTTCCGTGGACTTGCGACATCTTCTATGTACTTACTCAGCGGAGTTGATTATATATATTCTCTGCCATGTTTCTGCAACGAGGAACTTGTCTGTCTCCAATCTCGATCGATCAGACACTCTCAAGTTAGTAACCACAGTACTCAAGCCACAGAGATCTGTGGCTGAGATAGGGATCGACGTCACTGAACCAGGTATCGGAGAGTAACAGTCACATGCCCGTGCACGCCATACCAAATCGGGAGATTTGTTTTTGCCCTTGCTGGGGGGCTGGGGATCGTTCCTGCCTCCGATTTACTTGGTAGCTGAACCCCCCGCTTTAGCGCTGACGGCCCTCTTTCACTCTCCCTCTCTTGTTTATTTCTGTTGCTGCAGCATCCATCGTCTGTGTTCAAGTTTCAATCCATCTGCACGCAATTCGGGCTATCGAAAACCTGCCCGCCGCTTGCGATCCCTCAATTCACTCGACTCTTCCGACAATCTCGGTGTTCCTCGTGCCCGTCTTGTCTTATCTCTCCCATTTCTGATCCTTGCCTTATCAGGCCATTTCAGGCACAAGCCCTGCCGTTTCTACATCAACCGATTCTTCCCGGCCCAATTCTTTCCGTTACCACAGGGTTATGCCGCCTCTCCCTTGGATGAACATTCCATCCCAGTGATATCCCACGCAACCGCACGACTCTGGTCGGTTTGCTGCTTCGGTCCGGGAGGCAGGTATGCGGCCAATTGAAGTAGAGTCTCTTCCATCTCCATTGGTTATCGCATTCTTTCTCTCAAATCGGCACCCGTGATGTCAAGCAATTTAGCATCGTCCCGACGCACACAGACGGATTTGCCAGACCAAACATCCAATCCACTGCGCCATGGATCAACCGCTTCCACGAGCTCGTCGATATACACCGTCTCATCAAGTTCGTTTGCTCCCAGTCGCACGAGCACCGTCTCCTCCACCGCGTCATCTGGGTCCCTGCCCGGCCATAGACGGGGCAAGAGTGAGGTAAACACACCAATCTCCGAAGCAATGGCTGGAGGCGCTTCCGAGGGGAAAAGCTGGGCCAATGCGGGCGCGACCTATGAGAACATCCGCCGCTCATTGCGACCACTTTCCCAAGCCCCCAACTCGTCTCCTGTAGCTGCCAAGCAAGCAGCATTTCGTCATTCTCGAAGCCAGACTGTCGACAATCCCCAATACTGGAAGGAAAATCGCCCACAGACCCCCGAATCACGTCCTGCGCAGCCTCAGGATGTTGACACATTAAAGGAGAAGCCCTCATACATCGATCAAAGCCCCACGAAAACCGGTTCGCCGCATGCTGTCTCACCTCATGCCAAGTCACAAGTAAAAGCGCACCATGCACATAGTTTGTCCAACCCACCGCCGTTCACCCATACCTTGTCGGCCCCCGAGCTAGAGACGTTCCAAAAATCGTCAACCGGCCACCTGCGGACCCTCTCAAAGTTTGCGAAATCGGGTGAGACCGAAGAATTTGCGCTTGACAGTTATGGGGCATCTGTGGTGGGATTACAGGGACGACGACGCCTAAAGCGCGCTGATACGGTGACCGGAAACAATAGCCCCATAGCACGAAAGAAACCGGCAGCATCAGCATGGACGGCTGGGAGCTGGATGGACAAGCAGCGTCAGTTCCTCCAGGCTTACGAGTACCTTTGCCATATCGGAGAAGCAAAGGAATGGATCGAAGAAGTTATTCAGAAACAAATCCCGCCGATTGTTCAGTTGGAAGAAGGCCTGCGTGACGGAGTAACGCTGGCTGAGGTGGTACAAGCTATGTACCCAAACCGAACCTTTCGAATCTTCAGACACCCGCGACTTCAGTACCGTCACTCTGACAACATCGCACTGTTTTTCCGGTTCTTAGATGAAGTCGAGTTGCCAGAGCTGTTCCGGTTCGAGCTTATTGATCTTTACGAAAAGAAAAACCTCCCGAAGGTCATTCACTGCGTCCACGCCTTGTCATGGCTGATGTTCAAGAAAGGCCTCGTCGATTTCCGGATGGGTAATTTGGTGGGCCAATTGGAGTTCGAACACCATGAACTCGAGCAAACACAGAAAGGCCTCGATAAGGCGGGCGTCAGCATGCCTAGTTTCTCAGGGATGGCTGCCAACTTTGGAGCGGAACCAGAGCCAGAACCGGAGCCTGAGCCGGAATCCGAGGAAGATCGCATTCACCGTGAATTACATGAAAGCGAAGCCTCGATCGTTGATTTCCAAGCTCAGCTTAAAGGAGCGATGCTGCGACTGAAGCTTGGCAACTTGATGAACGATCTATGGGATTTCGAACCGTTTTTGGTAGAACTGCAGTCCAGGATACGCGGAGACTGGGCTCGCCAAATTGTTCAATACCGACTGGATATGCGAAAATTCGCTGTTCAATTACAAGCGATCTGCCGAGCTTTTCTGGTCCGACAGCGGCAGAGAGGTGATAAGGAAAATTACCAGGCCCAGGAAATTGATGTACTGCGGCTGCAGACCCTGATCCGGGGAGCCAAGGCAAGGGCTCAAGTGGACCGTGTTCGAAGTTGTATGCGGAAAGAGGAATCGGGCATCAAATTGATTCAGGCAGCACTACGAGGCGCATTGCAACGACAGAAAGTGTACGATCTTTGCGAGGGCACAAGAGGTGCGGAGGAGGATGTTCAACTGCTGCAGGCTGCTATCCGGGGTGCTCTGCAGCGCAAGCAACTCGCAGCGCAATACGAAGAAACTCAGTCGGCTGAGACAGACGTAACTGAGCTCCAAGCCCTTATCCGAGGTGCGCTTCAACGCAGTCAGCTGGCAAAGCAGTACGATGCAGTGCAGTCTGCGGAACCTGACGTGGTCGAGCTCCAGGCCCAAATCCGCGGTGTCCTTCAGCGCAATCGGCTTGCAGAACAATATGAAGCAACACGAGCGAGAGAGGAAGATGTGACAGTGCTTCAAGCTTTGATCCGGGGTGCCTCTGTCCGTCAGCAGATGAGCACACAGAACGAGGCCATGAATGCGACGACAGCAAGCAGCACGTCTCTGCAAGGAATCATTCGAGGAATGCTGACCCGGAAAGGTATCGAAGAGACAAAATCGTTGCTCTTGCAGGAAGTACCTTCAATTACCTCCGTTCAAGCAGGCGCGCGGGCCCTTGCAGCCAGAAAATTCCTATCGCAGCAAGCAGAAGCGCTCGCAAAGACAGCAAATGAGTGCTCCTCTCTCCAGTCAATTGTTCGCGGTAACGCTCTTCGAGCCGAGCTTGACCGTCTTCGACAAGATCTGAGCGAGCATGTGCCATCCGTCATCGACATCCAAAGCATCTCTCGAGCAAATGCTGTACGATCCTTCCTGAACTCTCAACGCGAGTCTCTTGAGGAAGAGGAGACGTCCATTTTGGCCCTGCAGTCTATGGCTCGGGCAGTCATACTCAGGAGAAGGCTCGAAGCAGATGCGCAAGCTCTACAGCAGGAAGCACCGGTCATAACCAATCTTCAAGCTCTTATTCGCGCCGCAATTCTCCGCATCGACGTGGGCGGCATCTTGGAGGAGCTCGATGACTGCGAGTATGAAATTAGCCAGTTCCAAGCACAGATAAGAGCCATGCTTGTTCGGGTTGACGTTGGCCAGACTCTTGCAGATCTGGCAGCTGCCGAAGACGTCGTTATGGACCTTCAGTCACACATCCGTGGACATCTTGTTCGTTCCAGATTCGAAGAGAAACGCCGCCATTACCGTGAAAACATGGATAAGGTGATTAAGGCGCAAAGCTACATCCGCGGTCGAATTCAGGGTCAAGCCTACAAGAGCCTCACAAGTGGAAAGAACCCGCCTGTAGGGACTGTCAAGGGCTTTGTGCATCTGTTGAATGATAGCGAGTTTGATTTCGACGAGGAAATTGAGTTTGAGCGAACACGGAAATTGGTTGTCCAACAGGTCCGACAGAACGAACTGGCAGAGCAATACATCGGCCAGCTCGATATCAAGATTGCGCTCCTGGTCAGGAACAAGATCACGCTTGATGAAGTCGTAAAACACCAGAAGCATTTTGGTGGCCACGTTGGAAGCCTTCTTCCAAACCGGGAGATTTCTTCCAAGGATCCTTTTGACCTGAAAGCTCTGAATAAGACATCTAGAAGAAAGCTAGAGCAGTACCAGGTTTTGTTCTTCCTTCTTCAAACCCAGTCGCAATATTTGGCGCGGTTGTTCCGACGCCTGCGTGAGCTCAACACGCCCGAGAAGGAGTATGATCGGATAAGGCATCTGATGATGGGTCTCTTTGGATACTCGCAGAAGAGACGTGAAGAGTACTACCTCATCAAGCTTCTTGCACGTTCCGCCAGGGAAGAAATCGAAAGCTTCGACTCGCTCCATGAATATCTGCGGTGCAATTCTTTCTGGAGTAAACTTTTCGCATCCTACATCAAGTCCCCACGGGATCGAAAGTTTATGCGTGATATTCTTGGAACTGTTGTGAGGGAGAATGTGGTTGAGAACCCAGAGTTGGACTTGGAGAGCGATCCCATACAGATCTATCGCTCGGCCATCAACAACGAAGAGCTCCGGACCGGCAAGCGGAGCCGACGCCGACTGGATATCCCAAGAGAAGAGGCAATCAGAGATCCAGAGACGAGAGCGACGTTTATTCAGCATCTTCAAGACCTCCGCGATATTGCTGACCAATTCTTTTCTGCTTTTGAGGAACTACTGTACAGGATGCCCTTCGGTATTCGGTACATCGCGAAACAGATGTACGAGAGCCTTCTCGCTCGATTCCCCAAGGAGAACCCCGGCTTCATCCTCCAGACAGCGGGCCATTGGGTGTGGAGAAACTACTTCCAGCCTGCAATGGTCGAGCCCGAGAAGTATGGTGTGATAGACCGTGGCTTGACCCAGGAGCAAAAGCGCAATCTTTCAGAGATCTCGAAGGTGATCGCGCAGGTAGCATCCGGTCGACTTTTCGGCGCAGAGAATGTCTATCTCCAGCCACTAAATAGCTATATCGGAGATTCTATCCAGCGGCTTGGTCAGATCTGGGGTGACAGTGAGTATTTCATAAGTTGTAATCTTTGGGACGATGCTGACCTTTTCGTAGTGGTCTCCGTTCAGGACGCTGAAAGCTATTTCGACATCGATGAATTCAACGACCTTTATGCTAAGACAAAGCCTACTTTGTATATCAAAATGTCTGATATCTTCTCTATCCATCAGCTTATCGCCAGCGAAATTCATTACATCTGCCAGAACCCGGATGATATCCTGAAGGAGGTCATTCGCGACCTGGGTAACGTCAAGTCCAACGAGAGTGAGCTAATGAGCGTCAACTCCTCTGAGATCAATCTCACCTTGAACCCCAAGCTGGCACAAGTTGAAGGTAAGCCCGAGCACTTTCACCACTCACAAATATGCCTGGAGACTGACATTTCGAACTAGACCCAGAAGCGGATGTGAAGGCTTTGTTCATGGAAACCAAAAGATGCATCCTCTATATTATTCGCGTCCAAACAGGCGCCAATCTGATGGACATCATGGTTAAACCACCCACCGAAGAGGACGAAGCCAAATGGATGACGCTGGTTCGTGACGAGTTGAGTGCAAACAACACACGACGGAGCCCTTACTCGGAAGCCACCACCATGGTAGACCTTGCCTCTATGAGTTACACGGAATTGAAGCAAACGGCTCTGGAAAACATTCTTCAACTCGAACAAACCGGTAAGATCCGGCGCGATAATTACTACCAGGATCTTCTGAATGCGATTGCCATCGATATCCGCACAAAGCATCGCCGGAGAATCCAGCGAGAGCGGGAATTGGACAGCGCTCGGATGACGCTTGCTCGCCTCAACGACCAAGCTATCTGGCTGGATCAACAACTCAAGACTTACAACGACTACATCGAGCAGGCCATGGTGACCTTGCAGAACAAGAAGGGAAAGAAGCGGTTCCTTATGCCCTTCACCAAGCAGTGGGATCACCAACGAGAACTACAGAAGTCCGGCAAGGTCTTCAAGTTTGGATCCTACAAGTACTCGGCCCGCAATCTGGCGGACCGGGGTGTTCTCGTTCACTGGAAGGGATACACTGAACGACAGTGGGATCGGGTCGACCTTACCATCTCGAGTAACGAAGTCGGAGTTTTCACCATTGATGGAAGCAGTGGACCGATGATGATCCCGGGAGCCAACGCGCAGGTTCCGTTGGACGACCTACTACAAGCCCAGTTCAATAACATGCAGTTCCTGGACTTCTTCGATGGGCACTTACGAGTCAACGTCAATCTTTTCTTGCACCTGATAATGAGAAAGTTCTATAATGAGTGATGGAGCGGTTTGATGCTGGATCATGATCTTATTCCGTCTATTACGTTTCATGTGTTGATGTTTTCTTCTGTTTATGTTTTTGTTGTCTGCATTTCTTTGAGATATCCCTTCCTCTTGCTATCATGTTGACGATGAAAAAGAGCTCATCTGGAAAGATGCCTGGAGTGGGCATGGTGGAGATGAGCCTTCGAACTCTTATACCTACTGAATATGTTTTCCTGTACCCCTCTGGTTTGCTATGCAAGGTGTCTTATGGATGCTTGAGCGCAACCGCCCGCATGTTATGTATGTATGGCCTAAGCCTGCCTCGACGATGATTGAATGAATACCATAAGTGTACGTATCCTTAAAGTGAGAGCCTTTGTAGTAGCCAGTAGTAAGAGAAAATAATAATCTTCAATCTGTCATGATTGAGTGTCATCTGTGAATAAGTTGTTTCAATGGAGGGAGGCCGAGCCATGGTCGGGTCAGGGGTCGCCACGTGACGGCTTGGGGCCCAACGGCGATCGATGCCAGCTGGAGGCGATGGCATCTCAACTTCCGCCTCTTCCTCCACTGCTGCTTGCCCTCCTGTCCTTGTTCCCGCAGGTATTTCCTGTTACGGTTTCAATTGATTCTGTGCTAGATTCTCCATCTGTGCTGTGTGCGCCATGGATTTCTCCAACCTCAAAGAACAGGTCAGCAACCTGACCTTGTATGATCTCAAGGCGGGAGTCCGCAAGGTCCAGAATGGTACGTCCCCGCGGTGACCCCAGAACGCTTTTCTGTCAATCTGGATGGCCTCGGATTCTGTTTATTTACTATAGGCGATTAACTGACTCTTATAGCGGTCATGAACTATACCGAGATGGAGGCCAAGGTCCGTTCCTACTATCCCGCCAGTTCCGTCCCGCCACGAGCCCCGGGCCTCCGCAACCCGTGTGGTTGTATCCCTTGAAGCACAACACTCACGTTAGACAGGTCCGAGAAGCTACAAACAATGAACCTTGGGGTGCTTCGAACACACTTATGCATGAGATTGCCAGTGGAACCCACAGCTAGTCAGTGTTTCCGCCCCCGTCGCATGGCCTAGCGAGGACTCCCCTGGAGTACTAATGACGTGTCGCAACATACAGTCAATTGCTCAACGAGATCATGCCTATGATTTACAAGCGCTTCACAGACAAGACATCGGAGGAATGGCGACAGATCTACAAGGTGAGTCCTGTTTTCTCCTATTCTCTCCGCGACACATGTGGACCACGGCTTACGATGCGCGACAGGCGCTCCAACTTCTAGAGTTCCTTGTCAAGAACGGATCCGAACGAGTTGTCGACGATGCCCGCTCTCACATGTCCTTGATTCGGATGCTTCGCCAATTTCACTACATCGACCAGAACGGAAAAGACCAGGGTATCAACGTGCGCAACAGGTCATCGGAGTTGGTTAAGCTGCTCGGTGACGTCGACTTGATCCGCTCGGAGAGGAAGAAGGCCAGGGCCAACCGCAACAAGTTTGGTGGATTCGAGGGTGGCTCGCACATTGGCGGTGGCATGTCCAGCTCTAGCTCCGGCAGGTATGGCGGCTTTGGCAGTGACAGCCTCTCGTTTGGTGGATACAGTGGAGGTGTCTACGGTGACGGTGGTGGATTCGGAGGCAACACAGGCGATTTCGGGGACTCCGGGAGACGTTCCAATCGCTTCGAGGAATATGACGAGTATGATGAGGGTGATGCTAGTCCCCCGCGCCGGCGCGGGCCCAGTCCTCCCCGTGCTAGTGCTACTCGCCAGGCCAAACAGCCGGCCGCTCCTGCTCCTAAGGAACCCGAGCAAGACTTGTTCGACTTTGGAGAGGAGGAGACTGTCGCGACATCTGTCAGCGCTTCCAAGAAGCCTGCCACAGGCAATGGCCTAGATATCCTCGACACCCAGCCTGCTGACGACGACGACTTTGATGATTTCCAATCCGCCACGCCTGCGCCTGCGCCGGCATCGTCAGCCCAGTTTGCCATTCCCCCGCCGGCCTCCACCGTCAGCACGACCTCCAGCACGCAGTTCGCTGCCCCCAAGCCAGTCTCGGCCACCCAGGGCTCGAACCTGAACGGCATTGTAGGCTTCACCTCGATGACCCCTACCCCGACCTCGAGCACGATGGCGTCTCCCACACTCTCTCAGAGCTCCCTGGCACAGGCCCAGAAACCCGCGCAGCCCAAGCCTAGTGGCTTCCAGGCCGCCACTCCCAACTACTTCACCTCTGTTTCCACCCTCTCCAACACGACTCAGCAACCTGCTATGGGTCACCGCCCCAACATGCCTTCCACCTCCTCTTTCACTTCCACCACGCCCTCTACCCCCTCTGCCGCCAACAAGCCCGCTGCCCCCAAGGCATCCGGTGACGTCTTTGGATCTCTCTGGTCCACCGCCAGCGCCAGCGCCGGTATTCAGAAGAACAATACGGGCGGAAACAAGGGCCCTAACCTAGCCAGCATGGCCAAGCAAAAGGCCAGCGCCGGCATCTGGGGCGCTCCCGCTGCTTCAGGCAGTCCTGCATTCAACCAGAGCAGCAGCAGCGGGGCGCCGAAGACAACGGGAAGCTCTGGCCTAGACGACCTACTTGGTTAGGTTGATGACTATCTCAGCTCGACCTTTATATCGTTGTCTCCTTCTTTTACCCCGCTTAGCTGAATGTTCTCTTTTCCTTTTTGGCACTGTTCGAGTGACTGTGTGTCTATACCGTAGTACGAATATTTCTTCTTCCTTTTATTTTATTTGCTTGCGTGCAAGATCTAAAATAGCAGGCCTACCCTAACTCACTTTTTTCTTCTTTCATCTATTCTGCTATCTACCTATTGCCTCTAGCCGATTCTTCGTGTGACTACTCCAGATATATTCTCGTTCTCCCGTGGCATAATAGCTCGGCTCCCCTATTCCCTGGTATGACATGGTATGGCACGTTACTTGATTCCTCAAGGGTACCCTTGAACCTATACTGTACTCCTTTCTCTATCGAAAAGCAGAAAAGTTCTATAGGATGCAATTTAATCTAGAATTGACTTATCAACTTGATATATGTAGGATCCAATTAAATAACTATCTCCTATGCAATCCTACCCTAATCATGATATACCCTCGAATACTAACGCAGACCCAACTAAGTCCCTTCAATCCCTTCCAGTACTACTAAGCAACAACTCCGGATGAACCTCCTCATCATACCCCTCCCCCACCCCCCTCCCCACCGCCGGCCTCTCCTCAATCCTCTCAATCCACCTCCTCAGCAGCGGAAACCTACCCATCTCCTCCTCCGTAATCGTCATCCTCTTCCACGCCCTTATCCACGCATACGCATTGATATCAGCAATACTATACTTCCCTCGTCCCTCGCCCACCAAGTACTCCCTCGCTTCACCATCACCAGCCAAGCTATTAGATAGATGCAATTCCAGCACGTTATAAATCCGAAGCGTTTCGGCTCTGAATTTCTCGATGGCATCTGTCACCCAGAACCATAAGCACATTTCACCTATATGATATCTCCTATAGAATGGGAATGGGAAAAGGGTAGCTTACAAGAATCCACCACCCCCGCGAACCTCTTAAAATGATTCAACCCCGCCTGCTGTGGCTGCCCCGACGCAGACCAGAAGAATAACCATTGAAGAAGCTTGAATCTGTGCACCGGTGAGGAGGAGAAGTGGAAGTGGAAGTGGTGATCTGGATCGTATGTTTCGACGAGGTAGAGGAGTATAGCGGAGGATTCCATTACCGTTATTGGGGTGGAGGAGTTGTTGTTGTTGTTGGTGTCGATGAGGAGGGGGATTTTGCCTACAATCCCTTTAACTTCAGTAACATATTTTCCTGCCCAGGTGGGTTCCAAAAGTCAAAGAAAAGAAGGGTTGGGGTCTGACCGTTAGGATTCAGCGCCAGAAACCACGGCTGCTTCTGCTCGTCCGTGTCGAGGTCGATTAGGCTTGTGGTCCATTGTAAGCCGTATTTTGCGGAGAGTTCTTCGAGGAGGATTTGGACTTTTTTGCCGTTGGGGGTGCTGGTTGTTAGGAGGTGGAGGCCCTATTTTTATAGGAGTTGTGAGGATGGTGTATTGAGGGAGAGTAGGGTGAAGGGTTGGGTAGGGGGTTACCTTTGTGTTTTGGATTCTTGGTGGTGTTGTTGGTGTGAATACTACTGGGCTTGTCATTGTGGTGTTGGGTATTGGGTGTTGTAGGGTCAGGTTTCGTTAGATTGGACAGTGGTAGTAGTAGTAGTAGTAGTAATAGTAGTAGTAGTAGTAGTAGTAGTAATAGTAGTAGTAGTAGTAGTAGTAGTAGTAGTATTTATATGTCAATCTCACCATAGCAAGATGGCATCATCCAATCCTTGTCCGACGGATGTCCGGATCGATCTGATAGTAAGCATCTAGCCCTTCTTTGAATGCTAGGCATCAACTAGAACCCCGGTTTGAACTAAAGAAAGCTCGGCTTAGAGGCTCCAGATCCCTGTCATGGTAATATAGTCTTCGGAATATGTAACTAAATCCTTGACCTGAAGGGTATTCCTCCTCTCTTTTGGTTCATCAACCAGGACTATTAGTCACATTTGTGGAGTTGTGTCGAGGACATACCACTACTACCAACTAACGTATTACTGACATTGGTTGAGATGAGTTTGACTGTGGTCGTACTGTACTAATTAATACTACGAAATATCTTAAGACAGGAAAATAAATAGTAGTCAACATTGCTCATAAATCACATATGATATAGATAAAACATAACTAACGCTGTTGGAGGTATATGAATACTTCGATCACACGCTGTATGCTAGGGAATGCTTTTGTTTTCACAGAAAAGCAAGCAAGCCAGCCTACAACCATAATCTAATGCATTGACGCCATCGCTCAAGTACAGAAACATATATACAGGCACATTTGCCCTCCCCTTTCCCACATTTGAAACAGTCACCCTCATTCTCACCCCCACCCTCACTCAGTCTCTCCACATCTCTGCTACCTCTCTCCCTCGTCATGAAATGATCATATCATGCATGCATGCATTCACAAACAGCCGTCCCGTTCAAATGGTGGTATTCCAACAATAGCAGTTCCAGCCGGGGAACAACAAGAACAGTAAGGAAATATAAAAAGAAGAAATGAAAAGAAATAGGATGATGCAATCATGTTTGGGTCGAGGTTCATCGGCCCTCAGGAGAGTAACATGGCCAGCAGCTATTATACTGGGTCACAGATTCATCAGAAGCTGAGATCATATGTACCTCCGTAGCAGGACATAATGTCCCAGTATTGCAGGTATGAAACTAGGCCGCCTTCTTTTCAGGAAGGTCTTGCGGGGCTTCGAGCCCCTGATCTTCTGCCGGGAAATGTGACATGTTCGAAGCCGTCTTGCCACCGCTAGCCAGCTGCGAAGACTCCCTCTTTGCCCCGTTGGAGACATGCTCGACGTTAACGTAGGTCGACTCCAGTGGGAGCTGTTCGTCTTGCGTGGGTGTGATAGCTTGCTGGGAATCTGTCGACTCCGGGCTCAGGTACGTGTTGTTCTCTTCGTCCGCATCAGGCTCGCCGTTCAACGACGTCAGCCCTCCCTCGATATCTCGAAGCAGACGCACAAACTCCTCTGGTACCAGCCCGCTCTCTCCAGTCTTGGGATCCTCCGCAACAAGCCAGCCCTGACCGTGCCGGTACGAGACGAAGATCACCTGCCCTTCAGTAAGGGGCAGCTCATTCTCATGCTCTCTTGTGAAATCGAACAGCGCAACTGCTTTTCCGTGCATCTCCTCATCAGGGCACCCCACAGCAAACTGGAAGTCACGCGAGTACCGATGATCCCCGGCATAGTCGTCTTCAGAATCAAAGTCCGCCTCATGTCCATAGGCTTGATAGTCATATGAGCCCACATGAGAATACCGGCTTTCGTTCGCCGGATACGTGACATACTCGCCGCCCGGTCCATCCTCCAAAGCGTCGTCATCGTTCACATAGTACGTCTCACTGCCGTCCGCGTTCATACTGACAAGCGTACCCCGATCGGTATCTGCCTCATAGCCCATGCCTTGATGCTCGCGGCCGCCAGGGCCCCTGGCTTTCCGTCCATTAAGGTCAGTTCCGGTGGACTTGTTTTTCCGGTGACGCGGGGCGGAAAAGACTGGGCTGTGCAAGTCTTCATCCTCGCTATACGGCGGTCCATCGCCAAAGGACATGGCGGGAAGTTGCTGGTGCCCATAGCTGTGATCGGTAGTCCACGGTCCCACGGACCATTGGCCACGAGAACTATCCCACGGGGCCGGAGGATCGGACAGGCGCCGTTGCTCACTTGCCGGGGTGGACACCACTGATGCACGAGGCGGCAATGGGCCGTAGTGAAGAGGATGAATAGGAGGATACGCAAAGTCGCGAACCAGCGCATACGGTAAGCTGGAATGAAAGACAGGAAAGACGTGGGATCCCGGCCGCGACCGATTCTGGGAAGCCAAGGAAACATTAGAGTGCGTGGAGAGACGATCCTTTGCGTACGAGGAGGATCGCTGACGGCCCTGCCGCTTAACTGGGGAGTCTGTGATTATAGGAGGCAAAACCGTTAGGTTCGAGGAAGCCGTGGGCTGCGATGAGGGGGCCGAGGTTGTGGAAGCCATGATGATGGTCATGAGTCCTCAAAGGTAATGATCAGAGCGGAAGAAAGAATGATTACGTGTCGACGATGTCGTGTGAGGTAATGTCAGGTCGGATGTTTGTCGCTTGAGAGGGGATAGAAAAGCTGGAGAACCGGTCCGCCCTAGTTTCGCATCGCGATCGTTCTTCCACGAAACTCTACTGCCAGATCCCGCCCGAAGGTTATTTCAAGGAAACTCTCGCACCAAGAATATGTATGCGAAAGCATGCGACTCAAATCGGAGGGATGTCTCGTGAGCTCCTTGCGTACAGCACGATGCAGATCTGGGACTGGGAGGACGCTGCGCGCCGAAACAAGTCTGAATCAACCGGAGAGGGCACTAGACGACCGGCGACAAGTTAATGGACTGCGGCTAGACGCCAAAGGAAGCGAGGTGGCCGCAATGGGATGTCTGACAGGTCCGGGTATAATCGACAGCGAACGGACAGGTACAGCGCGGCTATCGACCTCAAGAGCAAGCACCGCGGGGATCTTCGATGACGGGCAGCTGTTCCCCTCTCTCTTTCTCGGGCCAAGAAATATTAAACACAACGACGTTGACTGCACCGACCAGGCGGCTGCAGGGGTGGCAGACAAGATTTGATGAGCGACAGCCAATGCCCGGGGGAGAAGAGGTTTGCAGCGAAGCAGGTGGAAAAAACAAGAGGAGGTTGTTTCGAGAGCGTTTTGGTCCCGCGCTTGGGAGTTCGGGATGGTCGAAGGCAAAACTGGGGATGCTAAAATTAGCAACGAGGGCAGGGCCAAAAAAGCGCCACTCTGAGAGGACGGCGACTACCGAACCCAATGACAAACGGGAGATAAAAAGAGGGGAGGCAGGAAGGGAGAAGATTGATTGATTAATTGATTGATTGATTGAATATTGAGGGGGGGAAATAAGGAAGAGGGGATGAGCGCCAGGAGAGGAGAGGACAAGACACTCAGCTGCAGGAAGCAGGAGAAAGATGACACACAGGATAAGGGACGGTGGAGCGAGAAAGGCAGAGAGAGCGAAAGAGCGAGAGCGAGAGGGAATGAATGAATGGTAGGGGCGAGAGGGTGCGACAAGAGGCTTGCCAGTGCCGGAGATTACTGCTAACTTACCTGCCGTGAAGGCTCCGACTGAAGCGTTAAGGATCAACGAGGCGCAGTCACCGATGCGGTGGAGTTCAAGGATTCAGAAACCCGCTGGCATGCAGGGTCACTGTCTTTCGAGGCCGGACACTCAGGCAATTGAGGGTTTCTCCAGGGCAGAAAAAGGGAGGGGAGTAGACGCAGTCGAACGGGGTGAATAATCCGGGGGTCTTTCTTGACTCTAAACCGACATCTTCCACTCCTTCAAGCTCGTTTTCTTTTTTGTCTGGGAAGTTTGAAGATTCACCCTCTCCACGTGACTGCCCACGCGTGGCTTAGCGTGTTTCAGGTGTGGATGCCTCGGGCCATCGCCGAACGGGCCACTTGATGCCTCAGCAGTCAGGCATAACAATGCTCCTGCTCTGCTGCTGTCTCTCCACATGCCTTTCTGCCTTGCATGGCTCATAGTAGCTACTATTTACCCACCACGCCCCAGCCACTAGACAATAACCAGCCACTCTAATTATATCTTTTTGTTCCGGATATAGGATCCGCATCTACTCCTCGTGGTCCTGCGGTGGATCTATTTCTATTCAGTCTATTTTCCACGAACCTATCTACTATGTATTACCCTAGGAAAAGCACAATGGGATGAGATCCGGCATTTCAATTGTCTATTGATCAGAAGGGTCTAGTCAAACAAAGGTCAAAAGTGTGACTGTTATCAATCCCGGCTAGGCCCGCCTAGCTCGAGCGGTAGAAGAGAATGTAAAAGCTAACCCGCTCTCTTCGGAGGGTATACAATGCATTCCAAATCCCCAGCTATTGGGAACGCAAGGGATCCACATCCAAAGCAAGGTCTTTTCAATCAAGTGCTCCCAGCCAAGGCAGCACTGCTAGTCCAGGGTATGTGTGTCGTGATGACTGTCGTCAATGTGAGAACTCTAAAAGGCGCCACTGAGGTTGGTGTTGGCGTCGGAGCCGGCGTCGTCGAACTTGGCGCAGAACTACCTCCAGCCTCCGCACCACTATCAGTGCTAGATCCCATTACCTCGGCAAACTCAGACGGAATGGCTGCGCTGTCGAGGGACTGGCCCTCCACATATCCCTCCTGGACGTGCGTATGAGTTGTAGGGCTATCGACCACATCTACATCAATGCAAGTGGTATAGATTTCCTGCTTGCCGTTGGGGAGTGACGGGTCCACGCCAGGAGCCGTGGGCCAATTCCAGACCCAGTAGAGCGTATACGGCTTGCCTGTAGGTGCATTCGATGGTAGCGCGATGTCCTGTTGACACCACAAATCTGCGCCCATCAATTGGTCCGCCACGTGGGGGTACACGGCTTGACGATGTTCGGAGATATTGCCATTGTTGATCTGATAGCAACGGCCGTCATCAAAGTTTTGCTTCGACAAGAGAACGCCGCGTCGATCCCCTCCCGTACCGTCGCGATTCCAGGAATTGAAGACGTCTAGGAAGTTCTCCTCCTCCTTCGGCTCGGTGGTTCCGTAAACGTAGATTGTCCCTCGATTCTTCGGCTTTCCCGGTTGATTCCAAGGTAGAGTCACATGGCCGTTCTCTTGGTAACGAAGAGCGATGGGGGAGCCGGCAGATGCCTGCAGCCGCGGGCTACCCTCGGTTTGGTTTCGTGTTCGCTGCGTGCTTTTGCACATCTTGTCGGTGGGAAGAATTAGACTCTGGTTGGCTCGATCATTTGGTGGAATCAGGTAAGTCATGGTCGTGTCGCTGAACCCGGGAGTAGTGCGATGAACGTTGCCTCGAGCGTAGCCTGGAGATCCGATGAAAGTTCCATTCGCTGCGATGGCAAGCAGCTGTTCGATCCACGAATGTGCGTTTGCCGTCGAGAAGAGGAGGACCAGCAAGAGCAACCTCAGAGCGCTGCTGCAAGGTTGGCTTGTGAGCCCCATCTTATATAGCCACTGTATGTTTTAATCAAATCGCAATTCAAGATACACAGTATCTTTACTCGGATAGTGCACCAGCCAGTGGTGTCTATAAAGGTGGCAGTCTGTTTGTATTAATTAGTGTTTAGAAGAAGGTTGACCGGGGCAATATATTGAGTGAGCAAGGATACGCACAAACTATATACTCATGCCCAAGAACACTTCTGAGCTTTCCTATTCGATCCTCTGTGTTATCGAAATACCTCAATAGGTGGAACGACAACAATAGGAGGGACAAAGAAGTTTTTGGCAAACAAAGCGATTGTCTGGTCACAAAAGGCAGTAGACTCAGCAAGTTGACAATAGGACCAACCCACAATAAGTATTCATCTGAATGTCCCGCTCTCCATCTTTATCTTCTCTTCTACAGCCCGTGTTTGCTCGCAGCCCGAAAGAAAACATATGGGGATCGACCACAATGCCCAATGTGATCAGGTCATTTGAAACACGCCCATCCTGGCAAGTGAATAAACCAGCGCCAAGAGAGATTATTCTTTGCAGGCGCTAAGGATGATGCCAGAAACGATTGGAACTCACCGTCATGGTCTATTCATAGCCAATCGATCGCCATTCTCGTCCTACCAAGCTTTTCTGGTTCCCGATATGTCACAGATAGAGATCTTGAGTCATTGGTAGTAGCTGCTGGATTGAGCCGTACGACAAAGCTGATTGAGTCAAACGTGCATAGCAAGATATCCTGGGCATCAGAATCTGAAATTAGCAACAGCGCTTAATCTGGTTGGAAGCAAGATCTCATGACAGAAAGTGTGTTATAGACGATCTCCCGTGTTGCAGATGTGAAGACGTTGAAGACCATCGAGGGCGCTAATTGGCTTGGGTGTCCTCAGTAGCAGCGCTCCGTCGTGCAGAACTAATACAGGTGACACACGAGAGACATGTGTGTCTAAATTTGCTCTATGACTTGCATCAAGGCTTCAGAATTCTCTGTCGCCTACCGCGCAGACTTCTGTTGATATTGGGTGTAGAGGCGCCGTGATGGGGATCGCTGAAACACGGGCGCCCCGCTCTCTCTAGCCTGAGCAAACAAAGCGCGCTGACAAGACTGAATTCCCAGACAAGCTAAATAGGTGGTCGGTCAGTAGTAATTCAGATGGTCCTGGAATAATGAAGCTGCATCTGAATAAAGCAGAAACTTATAATGTGATCTCTCAGCTATCAAGCTTTCCGTCAGTCGTTCTAGTGCCTGTCGCATACCATGCATGAGATGGGTGACAGGTCTTCTCGGGTACCACATTATAACCACATTATCCAGGGACACATCCACAATGGCCACTGCAGCTTCTCAGCGACCTTGTCCGTTAGCAGACTCAGCCAAAGCAAAGAGCTGAACCTGTCGCACCTGAATGTTTCTTCCACGCTCATTTTGCACTTCCTTGGCAACTACGCGATCCCCACCGTCCCCATTGCTGAATCAAGTAAAATCCAGCGTCTCCGACCGTCGACGGTCCCATCAGTACCAATCATATCCAGACTCTGGCAACCTCTGATCCCGCGAGCGTTGTCCGACTACGCAGAAGCCATCGAACAAAATAAGACAGGCAAATTCGATGCCGTAATGCGATTTACACATTCGAGGCAGTTAACCTTCGTGTGCTCTCTGTGATATCACTCTGATCGCACTGGATTGCGTACGCGCTTTGGCCCGCAAGCGAAATCTGGTTTTTCTTTTGGGTTTCCGAGATCTGCTGGTCGCTCGGTAGGGATGCTGGTTAACAAAGTACGTTCAGGTCTCATGGGCCAGCAACTTGTCAAGGTTTGGACACCAGAGCTTCCGCTCATCCGTCGGTATACACACTGATTTCAGAAACATATTTCGAAGCGAAACAGCAACGACCCGGATGGAGCCCTTTTGTGGCAGAGATGAAAAGATTGATTAGATGAAAATAGGTGGGTATCGTGCGTTATCTCCGATGAATCACGACTCTTCAGTGGCCATGGTCTCCTTGTCCCGGTGTCCACCGTCCCACCCATCCCCGAAAGGATGAGGGAATATTCAGGACCTTGGGCTGCAGGTTGGAGTCCGATGTGGATGCAGCTTCAACCCAGATTGGACACTACGATAGAACTGGCGATGGTAACTTACTTTAGATTACCTAACGCATTCAAAGCCATTACGCCTTGCATGTCAAATACAAGCTGCGTACGAAGTCGAAAGATGTGCTTTCTTCACAGCTCTCCGGGCGCTGATGGTCATCTTCTTTTGATTATAGAAAGTCATTGGTTGATGATTTGTTTGCGACCTGCAGCCATACGAGACAGTCTTCTTCACCGAGGAGCGTGACTAAATGTGTCTATACTATGACTGAAATATGCCATCAACTTGGATGTAATGACGATGCTACGACGGATAGTACATGTTTCGAGACCCTATTAAAGAGCCGGTTTTCCTGCAAATCCCTTGCTTTTGAGCAGACTCCTGGGCAATTATTCAAAAGAAGCGGTCTACTGAAGACTTGGATGATACTGCCGAGTCAGTCCAATCCATTTGAAGCAAGGTCGATGACAGATGAAAGAGTGCTTTGATAACGCTCTGGCATGTCATCGAAGAAAAACTCCGTTTAAGTTAGTCCGCAAACCATCTAGATGACCTGGGACGCTAGTAAGGCAGACCCTGTCACGATGTAGTAGATGTACCAATCGCGCTGCTTGCCGGGAGGCTGAAGTTTCTGTTTGCCCGTCTTGGTTTGCCCGGGCTTCAGGGGGTAGGGCCGGGAATTATGCAAATGGTGACACTAGACACCTTTGGAATCCTGTGTACAACGTAATCTGCGATCTGGTTCGACGGACTTTTGTGTCACTTGATTGCGTTTGAGCTGAGGGTGGCGGCGGTGGTTTCAATACAGCTCACATCATCCCAAGTGGTATGAAGGTGGTTATTTGGAGTGGGTGGATGGGTGGCCTGAGGCTGGCAGCTTCCCGATAAGCGGAGTACGGTCAGGTTGGTAAAAGTACGGATTGGCTGGTAAGGGAATAATACCCACCAGGCAAAAGAACAATGGTACCGTTTCCAGGCTACTAGAACCATCCCAAGTAATTCCCGTTTGGGCTGGTCCGGTCCTCGCTACCTCGACTCTGCTTCCTATTTGAATTCTTTATTGTCGGCCGCTCCCCCCTCCTCTCTCTCCACTCATTTCCTTCCTTCTTCCTCTTCTTTTTCTTCTCCCATTATTTCACACCCAAAGGTCTGATCGACGGCTTGAAGAGTCGATCCTAGGGTCCTGCATAACATCTGCCTTACTTACCAGGATTGTTGGGAACCTGCTACCGACACTACCCACGGACTATCAGCGGACCGCATATCCGCGCTTGCCTGTAATTGGTCGCGCTCTTTGGGCGGTCTTGTGGTTCAAGCGGCGAAATTCACGGATTTACGATAATCCCACCGCCTGTGTGCCACGCCGTGGAAGTGCTTCCACATTTCGTTCCTCAGGGGCAGGAATCGACCTGGAAATCCTTAAAGGGGTGTATTCAGTCAGAAGCCGTTGCTGGGAACTTGGCTCCAAGGCATAGCAAGAAGACGTGCGACATCTTCTCCGCTGCCAGGTAGGTTTCTTCCCGCGCTTCCCTCCTCTTTCGCCCCCGTCGGCATTCCAACGGTCTGATGTACTGATCGCACGCCTGCTATCATCCCTACAGTCCCGATAAGCAACAGCTGGTTTATCGCTTTCGCCTCATGCCATTGACATTGGAGGAGGTACCCATAAGGTTCTGATACCTAGGAGAGTCTTCCGTGTGAAGCGTGGGACGGTGCACGCCAGTCTTTTTTTTTCCTCGCAGGGTTTCACCGCGTTCACCCACCGTTCTTCCAGAGCGCTTTCCCCCTCCAAGACGTGGTCTACACCGCTCCTTTCCTTCGAATTTCTCGTCTGTCGACAACAATCATGGCCGCGACTTTGATCCCAAGGAAGTTCCGGTCTACGGACGCGGAGGAAGATGCTGAGCCTGGATGGCTCAAGCGTCAAGTCACCAGTGGCTTGCAATTCCTCTCTCGCCGTGCCTGTCTTCATCCCATTCACACGATCGTCGTATTCGCTCTTCTTGCCAGCACTACCTACGTCGGTCTCCTTGAAGGTAGTTTATTCGACTCTTTTAGAAATCCTAAAGATGTTGCCGGCCAAGTGGATGTGGACACCCTTCTTCAGGGTAGCAGAAACCTGCGTCTCGGGGAGAGTACCTCCTGGAAATGGCAGGTGGAAGACACTCTGACTGCCCAAGACTATGATGTAAGTCAATAACTGGTCTATTAATGTTAAACATCAGATCAATGTTCTTTTTCTAACAACGCCGTTCAAGCAGACTGCTCAACATATGGCATTGACGACCTTTATTTTCCCGGATTCCCTGTCGAAGTCAGCTTCCACCGGTCCTCTTGCCGATGGTGTCCCGATTCCTGCCAATACCTCCGCACAACGGGTGCCTCACACGCCCAATCTCTTCTCGCCTTTCTCCCATGACGCGTCTCTCGTGTTCACACTTCCTTTCGAACAGGTCCCTCAGTTTTTGAAGGCAGTTCAGGAGATCCCCGAACCCTCTGTCGACGAGGATGAAGGAGAGCAGAAGAAATGGATTATGCGGGCTGCTCGCGGTCCGGCTTACGGATCCAGCGGAGCTCTCAAGCTTTGGCTGGCAGACGCATGGGGTTCCTTCGTGGATTTGGTCAAGGTACTTATGCCCTTTAGTTTTAAATCTTATATGGCCTAGTCCATGCTAACCCGATGCAGCACGCTGAAACGATCGACATCGTCATCATGACTCTGGGATACCTTTCGATGCATCTCAGCTTTGTCTCGCTCTTCTTCTCGATGCGGCGTTTGGGCTCGAACTTCTGGCTTGCTACCACGGTTCTTTTCTCTGGATGCTTTGCCTTCCTCTTTGGTCTTCTGGTGACCACCAAGCTTGGCGTTCCCATCAATATGCTGCTTCTGTCGGAAGGTCTTCCGTTC